TTTAATTTTGCCTGTTTGGAGGTATGGTATATAGAACAAGCTACCCTCAAACATGGTACAAATTTAAAGGATAAATAGTGTCTAAAATTGTAGATGAGTTAATGAATATCCATGACATATAAAGAAAAGATTGGAGCTTGAGGCATCCACTCTTGACCTTTGAAGAGCATTTTAGAGGCTTCCAGTCCCACTTGTTCACAACTATTGAGGTCTTGACCTCTGTGGGAGATAGTCTTGAGTTTGGTGGGTGGATGGGTCCACAGAAGAAACAACAGTTTTTTATGCCTTTGTGTTTTTTGAAATCTGTTACTGAGGATGTTATTTCTGTTGTATATTTACCTTGTATTCGAGAATCATTTTGACATAAGGTCAGAAGACTAGTAATTTCCTGCTTTATTAAGGCTCTTCTGTGTTTGGTCTATATTTTCTTCCTAGAAGCAGAGATTGAGATGAGATTTCATAAAGACTGTGTATTAAGAAGGCCCCTCAGGAGAAGGGACATGAAGGCAGCAAGGAAAGGTCAGGGGAAGAGCAAAGCAAGAATATTGTTCCTCCTAGAAACCAGCTTCAGCCTGGAGCCACAGCGGGAGAAGGAGCTGTGTAGCACAAATTGCCCACAGCAACTGTGTTCCCTTGATGCAAGGGACTGGCTTATTGGAACCTCTGCTAGTCAGTCTTTGCTGAGAGCAGTGGGGCGGTCACTTCCCAGTAGAGGCAGCTGCATCTCTGGGAGCCATTAGCCCCCATCAGTGCCAGCAGCTGGGGGATGGCTGCCCTGGCCCAGTGGACGGAGCCTGAGCAAGACCCTAGCAGCATCCTCTCTAGCTTCTTACCAGTAGACAAAGCTGTGAGATTGCTTACATGGCCACCTCTCTGCCTCGGTTGCTTGGAAGTTCTAAACTCAGTTTCATGTTTAATTGCTTTAGCAGGCTTCAACCAGGATGATTTAATAGCATTTTTTCTGTCTTCTTTTTCTTTATAACTTTAGTCTTTCATCTTTATCAGTTGTTTTTTTTTTACTTATTATACCTACAATTTTATTATAAGTTGTCTCAAATTCTTTTTAAAGCCCTTGAGTCCAAAATAAAAATAAATATAAACCAAAAGCCAGTTTTATAATTAGAGCAGTACCAGAGTCATCCTCCTTAAAAATTAGGTAAAATAAGTGTTGAATAGAAATAAGAGTATTTACTATTACAATTTTAACTCGGTACTAGGTATGGTTTTGTAAACTGCTCAAGAATAAAATAAACAGTAAGTATTCTAAATCCAATGAAGGAAAAAACAAAATTGCATTTTTCCAGATGATACTTCTATGTATGTATAAAGTGCAATGAAATTAATACAGAAGTTACTGGAGATGATGTTAATAATGTGACAGTGTTCTGCAGAATTATAGGCTTGGCTACAAATCCTCAAAAGCCAATTAAGTTAGTATTTGCTAAGGTCATATAGCTGACCATATAGTGATGAAAGATGTGAGAACACATTGTCCAGGTAAAAAATTGAACTTCTGTCTAACTACTGTAGGCCTGCTCTTCCCTACCTCATATTCACTGTGCTGACTAATGACATCATCCGCCCAGGTCATCCAAGCCTAAACCTTGGAGGTCATCTTCTGTATCACAGACCTTTACACCTCCTCAGACCTTTATACCTGCTGACCCTCACAACTAGTTAGTAGTTAACCAGCTTCTGACATTACCTACATTTCTCCCAAACCCAGCCCAATTTTATACCCAATTCTTCTGACTTAATTTCAGTCTATCATTTTTGTCAGAATTACCAGATGAATTCTTCAGTCTTATATATAGATATAGATATACATGTACTCCATAGGTTAAATAAAATTAAGTATAATATTTTTGGTCTTTTGGGTTTTGTTTAATGACTTTTTATGAAAGAAAAATTAGTAAGTATATTCAATAAATTAGACTAAGGTTTCTCGGACTCAGAACTGTCAACATTTGGGGCCAGTTAATTTTTTTTTTTTTTTTTTTTTGAGACAGAGTCTTGCTCTGTCAACAGGCAGCAGGCTGGAGTGCAGTGGTGCAATCTCGGCTCACTGCAATCTCCACCTCTGGGTTCAAGCAATTCTCCTGCCTCAGCCTCCCAAGTAGCCGGGACTACAGGTGCGGGCCACCACGGCCAGCTAATTTTTGTATTTTTTAGTAGAGACGGGGTTTCACCATGTTGGCCAGGATGGTTTCAATCTCTTGACCTCGTGATCCCCTGCCTCAGCCTCCCAAAGTGCTGGGATTACAGGCATGAGCCACCGCGCCTGGCCTGGGGCCAGTTAATTCTTTGTTGCCAGAGTCAAAGTATCTTTGTTGCTTTGTAAGATACTTAACAGCATCCCTGGCCTCTTCCTAGTAGATTCTAGTAGCACTACCTCCATTGAGACAACCAAAAATGTGTCCCGGCATTGCCAAATGTCCCCTACAGGCTAAACTCACCCCATGGAAAGGCACTGGATTAGACTAAGAACCATTGGGTAGCATTAGTCATGCTTTCTGTGCACCAACTGCCTTCTGTGTGTCGTCTCGTTTAATCCTCACAAGAACTCTATGGATAGATGCCACTCTTTCCTCATTTTCACATGAGCAAACCAAGACCTTAGTTAAGTAATGTGTAATATGTAACCATGTACCCACACCAGGACTTGCACCCAGGTGGTTTGACTCCAGAACCTGGTTCCCTCAGGTTGGATCCATCTCCCCACATACTAGCTGTGTGACCTTGGGCAAGTTAGGGAACTCACTTCACCTCTGTCTCCTCAGTGTCCTGTAAGATCCTGAGAATAGTGCCTATCTGGTAGAATTGTTAGGTTTAAACCAGTATGCAAAAGATTTAGACCAGGACTGGCATGTGTTAGGAAGCACTTGCCATGACATGTCACTGAGAATGAGAGGTAAAAAGGACACCTCACCTCCCAGTCTAGTTGGAGATGCGATTATGCAAACTCATAATTTCATAAATAGAGCGTTTTTATACAGTACTCATTACTTAACTGAAGTCTTGGTTTGCTTGTGAGTTGTGAGGATTAAATGAGAGCATTTATTAAATTCATAGTTTGTTAAATGGAGCATTTTCTGAGAGCACAGATGCAGGCTGGAACTTCTTGGCTGTCAGGATTGAGTCTAAAAGAGAGGTCCCGTATGAATCTTGAAGGGTGAGCAGGAGCTTTGGTATCAAGACAGTGAGGCTGCGAAGAGTGCAGGTGGAGGGGTGAATGCAGCGGGGTAGGAATTCCTGTAGGAATAGAGAGACTCCACATCATTCATTGCATGATTGCCACTTCCAAATAGTACAATGGGCCATTATTTCTTATAAAATCACTGGTTTTCTGACAGTTTGAAACATTCCTGTTTCTACTTAGGAAGGAAATATTCCAGAGCTAAATAAAAATATTTTTTGAAGTATATATAGAATGATATAGCAGACATGAAGAGAACTTTTACTGTAGGACGGTAGGCTACGTAGACTGCATGAACCCAGCAACATTAAGCAAAGTGAGAGAACTGTTAATGGGGTCAAAGCAGTTCTGTCACATTAATTTCATGAAAACATTCTTTGTGTCAGAATTCTTTTTAATATGATACTTGTGTATAAAGTAACATTTTGACCACTCAGAAAGAATACATAAACAATCATTTAAACTTCTGCAAAATGATTCCCTTCCTAATTCCCATGTGTGATAATACCTTTTCATTTTAGCTATTCCATTATAGCTAATGACATTGTTTCAGAAGAGAATGATGTCTACCCAGTAAAATATGTATAAAATATGTTAGTTTACTCTATATGCAAAAATGAAAGTTATTTACTTACATAAAAGATATTCTTCCAACTTCCTGAATTATTAATGTACAAAGAAATAGTCTTTCTTCCCCCTTACCATTGAATCATTGACAGTGACTAAGCTTCAATTAACAAATAGTTAGAAGGAATAGTGTGCAGTATTTCCTTTGCACCTATAGAAAATCCAAGTTTTACTTTCTTGCTAAAATATTTGAATCACGTATCATAATTTACATTTTAAAAGCATTCTTCTTTAAAATATATTTTGACGTTCATTAATTGAAACAGCTCATTTATAAGAAAATAACAATGTTTTTATTAACATGAATGAAATTTGAGAGAAAAAGTGACAACTTAAAGATAGCTTTCATCATCCGAACACTAATAAATGAGAGAGGGAGTGGGATGGTAGTAAATCCAGACTGTTACAGGATAAATGAACTTAATTTGTGGAGAATCCTCTTGCTAGAAGCAGAGGGGAGTTCTGAAGCATTTTAAAACATACTTTTGTTGTTATCACTTAGCTTGCACTTAATGCTTTAAGAGCCCTAGATATTTTAGTTTGGTTTTGGCTTTGCTTTACTGTGGTATCATTTACCAATTTCTTTTATTCAGTTCTGCCTAATCTTAGTTCGCTATAATATTGTCAGCTCTTACAAATATATGTAGCTGATTTTCTAAAATGAAGAAGAAACGGGCTGGTCACAGGAGGTAGGGACTTGGGATGGATGGTTTTGGCAGCATCTGAATGGAGTAGCCAGCTCTTGTATTCCTAATGTACTTTCACACACTGTAGCTTTAAAACAGAAGCAGGTTGCTCTGTTGTTGCCAACCAGGTAGCAAAGTGGATAATATTCTTGGTTAACATCAGGGCAAGGTACTTTTAATACTTGGCAGTTCAGCTCTTTTCTAAAATCCAGTTCAAAAGCTGTGTCAGCAAATTATCTTTAGAAAGAAAAAAGCTGTCAATTAATTGCCTTCTGAATGTAATCAGAACCTCTTTCAATTATAAATCCTTAAATAAAACTTGGAAACGATAATGGAAAAAATAAAGAACTCTTCAGACAGATATAATTGTATATGATCGTTTTATTGGCATTTTAAACTACCTTGTAGTTGTTAAAGTATTTTACATTCTACTTTCTTTGTAGGGAAAGTTAAGCATGATTCTGATTTTTTTTAACTCTGAAAGTCCCATTTGGCACAAAAAGTTCCATTATGTATTACGCAGATATTTACACATAATCCCTCAGGTTGCGTGTGGAATTGTTCTCCGGCTGTGTGGTAGAGATAGGCTGCTGCGTGGGTGGGTTGAGCCAAGCTTCTGGATTCCTTTTTATACAGGAGGTGCAAAAAATCATGCCAGAGATAAACAACAGCATTGCTGAAATGAATCCGATATAGATAGCTCCTCCAGGTTCGTGTTTGTTGCTTTCTGGAACTGTCAGATCCAGAAAGTTTGTTATGATCTCCTTTGTGTACCACACTGTCGGGATTAAACTGGAGATTCCTGCAAACATGAAACAGACTCCTCCAGCAAAGGAAGCATGGCTCTTGGTCTCTCTGTCCCCTCCTAAGCGAGTACATTTCATTCCTACTGTGGAAGTGCAGATCCCCAAAGCAGACAGAACACATGCCAGGACCATGGTGGCTCTTGCAGCCTGCACGTGGATGGGGAGGGACAGAATGGAGTGTTTCAGGGCACAGCTGAACATCCCGGTGCTGTACCACGTACAGTCCATCCAGAGCCCATGCAGCTGCACAATGGCTGTTACGATGTTGGAGCCCACATCCACATTCACCTTCCAGTTGGGCAGCAGAGTGGCGGTGAGCACTCCAGAGACCCCGGATAAGGCCAGGATGAAAGCAAGGAGCTGGAGTCCTGCCGAGGCCATGATGTTACTGTTAACTCTGTCCTCTTAGAAAATCCTGATGCTTAACTATGATGGGTGTCAGAACTCTATCTATTCTGTGCAGTAGAGAACCAAATAACAAACCCTAGGGAAAGAGGACAAAATCAGGACTAAGGAAAGAAAGTGTGAGTAAACAAAAGGCTTCGCTTTAGAGTAGGAGCCAGGAACACATCTGAGTACTCCCCCTTCTCCAGCCCCCAAGCAGCTGAGCATGCTGTAGTCCGGGAGGAGAAAAGCTCCCACCAGGCCTTGAAGGGATGCGCATGGGTGGTGTTGATACAGGGCATAAAGAAAGCAGTTGCCCACTTAATTCTTTTTAAAACTCAACAGATGCAGAGACTGTCTGTAAAGTGGACATGTACCTTGTTAGGAGATGTAGACATTTCAAATTCTAGCTACAGTGTCCAAAAAAGAATTTTAATAGCATTATAGGTTTCTAAATGATTTTATTCTTAATGAAAATAGTAGGTAAAAAGGAAGAAAATACATTAAGGTCACCTTTTAAAGATGGTTTACAAATACGTTTTAGAAAAGAAGTACTTAAGAAGTGGCTTTTATAAACAGGTCTTTATGACGCACCCACAGTGCCGGGCACGTAGGCTGGGTGAACCATTTGAGGGGAAGAAAAGCAGTGGAAAGACGGCTAAGTCACTAGCATGCCTATCCCTAAGTTCTAGTTAATACCTGCTTGCAAAATCCTGACTGAGGTTAGTACTTGTTTTACTTCTGGTACCTGGTACTCAGCCACTGGTTTTTTTTTTTTTTGCATATGGGAATGTGAGGTCCTTTCTAGCTGGGACCAGAATAATTTCCTTACCCAAATGAAGTCGGCTATTCTGAACAATTCAGAAGTAGTAATGGCAGATCTCAAAAACACATACCGGCAATAACCACATCATTAGTTGTATGTGAAAGATACCAGAAATAATTTAACGCTTTATTTTCTTTCTTTATTTTTACGAGAAAGGAAAAGACTGCACCTACTTTGTGGCTTGGCTGTGTTTTAAGAAACAAAAAGGCTTCTGATTCCATCTTTCTATTCCTGTTCCCCCATCTAGCCCATCTGGCACTGCTTACTGCTTTCTTTGAGAAAACTATAATGGTTTCTGAGACACTGCAGTACTGACTTTCTTTGTTGTTCTGAATTAATTTTGAATGATATGCTAAAGTGGCTCTATCGTGGTTCATATGTATTTCACAAAAGGCGATACAGGCTCGTCAGTCAAAAACACTTGGGCCAATTGTTAGCTTTATACCTCTCTGTGCCTCAGTATCTTCTTCTGAAGAATGGGGAGGATTGCCAATACTTCTTTCATAGAGCTAAATAGGTTAATATGTTTTAAGGGCTTGGAACAATATTTAAGCCACAGAAAGTCCTTTGTAATTTAAAATTGACATCATCATTAGTATTTTTATTTCTTGTGTATTGTGACAATTGATGTTTAAAATTAGATCTTTTCCTTTTTTCTCTTCCTTCCCTGGGCTGATTTATTTTCATAGAATCTTGGAGCTGAAAGAAACCTCAGACAATCTCAGGCATCCTCGTTTTTTCAGATTAGGATGTTCAAATAGGCAATCACTCCATGCCAGCTGGCCGCCAGTCTTCAGCAGCCAACCTGCAGTGTCCAGATCTCTCTCCACCCCTCCTACCTCACTGGATCATCCCTCCTCTTTTCCCTCTTTATCACAACACTTCTGAAATTCTCCCCTGAATTTCCCAGTGTTTCCCATGGGAACCAGGGAAAGCACTACATCTGGAGGCAAAAAGCACCATTAACTGTCTACTTCACCCACTTCGCTCCCCAACAGGGAAAAAAAGGACGGTAGAGGATGTTAATAGGGCAAATGGCTCAGCTTCAGATGACTTAGCAAGAACTGATGCCTGGCTTTGGTTCAATATTTGAAATACTGCTAATCCATTGCCTATATTTAAAGTACAAACTTTGCATAGCTACAAACATTGATTCTCTAAGACATTAGATCCTAGGCTATCTGGATTGTGCTGTTCTGTTTTTATTCATAATCTTAAAATGTAACTCTTACCATTTTAGAAAAGGATTTCCCTAGGATTTTAAGTCCTTGAGAGTCTGACTTATCTGTAAACATCAGTGTACTTAGCATTTGCCTGCTCTCATACAGTTTGTTTCTTTTCTGTTTTTCCAGACTTAGACCAAAACAGAACAAAAGCTAAAGTTTCTAGAAAAAAATCAAGCACATGTTTACAGTTTTATAATAGCTGTTTTCAAGTTTAGGTTTTAGCATTTCAGACTCCAGCCAGCTTGCTAAATTACTGCCTCCGGACCATTTTCAGCTTAGGGATTCTTCAAGTGTGGGGTTCTTGTAACGTTTTCTAACAGCATCTGCTTGCTTACCTTTCTCTCTCCCTCTCTTTCTTTCTACTTTGACTGAATAACCTTTGTATGTTATCAGTCTGTGTTCAGCTTACCAATTATAATCCTTTTCTTCCCATTAATCAATACATTTTGTAACTTTCAGTATATTTCAGACATGAAGACAGTTTGTTCATCACAATTAACAAGTACTGGCAGTGATCAATTACAGACAGCCAAAATCAGTATAAACAATATGATACTGCATTTAGTTAGTGCTTGCTTACTATTGAATATTGGATTCAAATACTTTTTTTCTGCATAGAGAATTATAGAAAGAATTTGTTCTCCATATGAAGGTTGCCTTCTGCTCATACAAATACACTGGCATTTTAGCTATATTGCAGCTACCCTCTAGCCACAAGCATAATACCGTTTGTGGCCTGTTCTCTCAAAATTTCTATCTCAGAGAGAATAAAGGCATGCTGTTTCAGCAGCTGTGGTGGTGGTAGAGAAATACTTGTGAAAGCAAGCAAAAGCAGAGGGGTCACATGTAAAAAACTTGGTCTGCAGCAAAAGCTCTCTCATGGTCTTAAAACACAGTGCACACAGAACAGAACCTAAGCACGTTCAATTTCTGAACTGTTCCACCAACAGAAAGTCTGTCGTAGATTTCACTAAAATGTAAAGTTGGCTTTCCAGACAAGATTTTTTATATCAAAAATAATATTTAAAAGCAGATTTACAACTTATAATTCAAACTAAATAATATCAAAAGATCTGTTCTTAGATCTCTAAACATTACAGACACGTTTTATTTCCCCTACCTTTTGTCAGTAGCTTTCACTGTCTTAACTCCTTCAGTCACTTGTCTTCAAATTCACCTCAATTAGTTATGGTGAAGAAGAACCATATATGTGAGGTTTATTTCAGAAATTCTGGGTATTTTTATAAAGCTCCAACAAGTTAACTTGAAAATAGCAAATAAAGGACAATGTAGAAATCTGAGAGGTAAAAACTGCTGATGGTGCTAGAAGATAAATACCACGTTCTCCATCTCATTTTTTGAGATGTGGGAAAATTAAGAAAGGAGAGGCGGGGAAGGGAGGGAGTTGTTGTTACAACAGGATTTGTTGAAACCTGAAGGCTAAAAATGCTTTTGTTGCCCCTGTGTACAGAGGAGGAATTATTTGGGTGCTCACAAAAAGGCTTTCTTTTCTTTTAATATTATGTTTTAGTCACATAGTTATAATTTATTTTTGAAATTTTGTCTGTGTTGAAAGATATAATTTATTATTTTATGCCCTCAGTTAAAAATGTGGTCCGAAATATTTTTAACTACGTTGTGCTTTGCAAATGAGAGTTGAGACTCCCTTTTTTTCCTGGTATTCTTGACTTGTCTGAAACCTGAATTCTTACAATTGTTAAATTTTAAAAGAATGCTTTTTAAAATATGTTGTGTATTTTTTTCAATAAAACCCAGCAACAACTTTTGACTAGAATCTGATCACTAAACCTACAAGTATTTTTGCGTGTGTGGTGCCCTGAGTTTTCTTGTTATTCCTTCCACTTAGAAAGATTTGTGGAAGTTGACTATGTAGATTTCAGGAAATGTTATGAAGAAATCACCCAAAATAACGTGATGAGACCTGTCAGATAAGACTGTGATCAGATACTGAGGTCGTAGCCCATGAATAATGGTACAGATGTATCTCACTGCCATTCTTTTGGCTTCTCATTTTTGTCTTCCTCAGTAAGTTGGATTCTACAAGCTATAAATTCATACCCATTATACAGAAATAAGATAATTTTATTATTGGATTTTTAAATGTAACAACTGTTAACCATGTTAGACTTTAATCATTTCTTTAAAAGTAGTAAATAAACAAACACGTTTCAGTTATCTGGATTTTTTGTTTTTGTTTGTTTTAATCCTAAGTTTGGCATTTAGCAAGAAACTGTTTTCCTCTTTGGGAAATCTAACATCTGTGGGTTTGCTTTTCAGCCATAGTATTGATTACATGTTAAGTCTTACCTCTCTAAGTCTTTAAGCTTTAAAGTCTGTACTGACTTTGTTCTTATATTTTATTTCATGGGAAGTATAAACAATTCAGTGTATAAATAAATACTGGAAGAAGCAGAGTTGAATTGCAGGCACTAGTAGTCACAGCAGTGTCATTAGTGCTGCATCAGAAGAAACCTCACCGGGGCCCTCCAGCATCCTGGCTTGTTTTGCCAGTCGCCGTGGTGGTTAGTGCAGACACAACCTTTGTGAGGCTGACCGATCATGATGGCAGGTGGAAGGGACCCAGCTGCTCCCCACTCTAACCTCTAGCATAAGGAAGCTCGCTGTAGAATAAACGGGTTAAGTGTGCTTTAATGTACATTTCTATTCTCAAAACATTTTGATTATTTTTCTGCCTTGATGAAAACAGTAATCCTATAAAACATTGCCTGCTTTAGAAGGAAAAACTTCTGAAATGAAAGCAACTTTCATTAGCTATAGACCTTTCATGAAGGCAGAATTTCTTATACAAAAAAAAGGAGCTAGAAAAGTAGAAGTGTAAATAGAAATATAGTTCATCAACATTACTACCTACTCCTGCTGTGGATATTAAAAGGATATTAGTCTTTGAAGTCCAGATACTCTCCTAGATAAATCTTATAGCCACTCGGCTGAAATCTCTTGCCCGGGCCCCTCCCCTGAACTTCCAAGTTGTATTTCTTTCTGCTGATTTGGTGTCACTGATGGACAGCTCAGACCTGTCATGGCACAAAA